GGTCAGCGCTTCGGGCTCATCGGCTGGGAGAACGTTTTGCTTCCAGGATTTTATTCATCATCATCCAGGGGCTGCTTTTGTTATAAAATCCTCTTTGTAATGGATCTTTTCTGTATAGTTGGAAGTATTTATTTAGCCTAGAGGGCTCCAGGAGAGCTGGAGAGGGACTTTGAAAAGAGCCTGGAGGGCCTGGAGAAGGGGGAATAGCTCCCACTGGCAGAGGGCAGGGATGGATGGAATATTGGGGATTGGGAATTGTTCCCTGTGAGGGTGGGCAGGCCTGGCACAGAGATTGGAAGGGCAGGAATGCTGCTAATTAAGCCCTGGCACTGCTGCCCCGGTGGGTGCCACCCCCTGGGAGTGTGGGCACGCTCCTGCTTCCTCCCCAAATCACTGGTTTTGTTTATTTATGGTGGGGCTGCTTTGTGTTTACTGCTGTGTTCCTCAGCCGAGAGTCACGGTCAGAAACAGGGCAGAGGTGGCCTGGCACTGGGGAGGAGACTCGCAGCAAGTGCCACAAAAAGGTCATTTAAACCAGGATATTTAGTAATGAAAAATCAGGTTTGAAATAATCTGATCCTCAGTTTTCCAGGCTGCAGGAACAGCTTTTCACTAGAGCCTGATGGACATCTCCCAGCTGTTTGCATTTGGGAGATTAATCCACTTTCCATTCAAATTCTTGTCTGCTGCAGTGAAATGTCAATTTTTATCTTGGTTTAAAGCTGGGTACATACCTACTGAGAAGTAAAACACACTGTCAAATAGAAATGTAATTTTTGGATAGTCTGGGTCAGCCTGATGAAAGATTCCTACTCCCATCAGTGTTTTTCCCTGCTGCCCAGTTCCTCACAGCTGAATTTAATGATGATTAATCAGACTGGAAATTAACCTTAATTCTGAAATCCAAAGCACAGCGGTTTTGTTGCCACTGTTGAGTCTGTTATTTTTCAAGCTCATTTATAAATTTAATAAATCCAAGAACTGAAAATCTTTTATAAGAGTGTAGCAATTAAATACTGCCTTTTCCATCCTCAAATCCAGCTGTGTTGTGTGTTGGTGCCGAAGAGGGTTGGAGAGGTAGCATTAAATAGTTATTTAGGGATGTTAATAACATGCTTAAAATGTTTCCATCAAGTGCTTTTGGATGGTGCGATGCCATCTGTGTTAGAGTTGATTTAGTTAATTACACAGGCATGAATTCCTTGGGAGAAGGGGTGGCATTGCTGGAACAGCTTGTTTGTGAGCAGGAAACACAGTGACACGCCATGAAACTCGTGGAATTGGGTCTGAAATATATTCCTCACCAACAGTCCTCCCCAAATTCCGCCGAGTTGCCACAGTTGAACAGATAATTTGGATGTCTGTGCTATTGGAGTTTATTGCAGAAACTCCAATGGATTTTTGTACCTTAAATATTGGTCCTCTGAGAAAAAGGAGAAATTACTTTCCTACCTAGTCACCTGATTTTAATTAATTATTGCTCTTTCTGCAAATTAGCCCTAAGAGCTGCACAGTTAACCAGGTGTCCTGCTTTAAAGCTGCCTGCTGGGGTTCAGCAGCAGTCCTGGCTGCCAGCATTGCATTCAGCCCTGTCCTGGGCTGGGACCTGCAGGATCAGCCAGCCCAGCCCCTGGCCCTGCACAGACACCCCAAAATCCCACCCTGGGCATCCCAGAGCGCTGTGCAAACCCTCCTGGAGCTCTGGCAGCCTCGGGGCTGTGCCCATTCCCTGGGGAGCCTGGGCAGTGCCAGCCCCTCTGGGGATGAGCCTGTCCCTGATCTCCAACCTAAACCTGCCCTGGCACAGCTCCAGGTGCTCCCTGTAACCATAATTAGCTTCATAATTGACACCCAGCTATGGTTTCACTAAAAACCAAACCCAAAATCCCATGTGAGGCTTGGGCTGAAGAGCCAGAGGTGGATTTCCATCCCTGGGTGTGGCACAAGGGGTAACCTCACACACAAGGGGAGTCAGCCCGGAGCAGCCTGGCAGCTGTGATGTTGATCTCACAAAGGACACGCTCCACACACCAATGAGTGAAAGCCAACAGCGGTGCAAGGATTAATCTCTGAGGAAAAATTCAGGTCAGTTGGGATTCGACATGTGTCCCTTACAGCTGCTGCAGGAATCGATCTAATCCTCAGCAAAACTTTGGCTAGACTTCCACTGCAGCGATGTCAGGGCTGGGGGATGAGGGGTGGAATTATTTTGAATTTAAAGCAGCTATTATTTCATGAAGGATAGGTTTCAGAGCTTACTTTACACTGGGAAGCACTGAGGGGGTTTTTATTTCCCAAATGGAGACTTGCCCTGCAGCAGGTAAGTGTGTTAGCTCTGCAGTGTGGGGAGCCTGCAGCTTTGGACCAGGCAGATGTGCCAGCCTCTGTGGAGGTCTGGGGTGGGTCACACACACTGCTTGTGGTTTTTAATACTCCTTTTCCCATGCAATTCCCACCAGGTTTCCTTCTCACCCTGCAGCTGAGTGAGTGATATGCTGTTTATATGGATATATGACAAATGTTCATATGGATAAAGCCCAGAGCACAGCTCCAGCACGGGACATGATTGCATGGCTTAGCATGAAATTCCTTTTCAGAGGAAAACTCATTTTCCTGCATTGGGATCTACAGGCTAGTGCAATCCTGAATGGAATGTGGATATTACTCATGTGAAAAAGTGGGAACTCAGCCATTACATTTTCTATTATAGTATTTCAAGGTGCACCAGAGGCTCAAAAAGATTTGTTTAAACTAATAAATCAGAGCAATTTGTCAAAAACAGAGAACACCAGTGCTCGCAGGGCAGATGTTGGAAATGTTCCATATTTGTAAGAACAATGTTCTGCTTTCAAATATTGGTACCCTGGGTAGGGATTAATTCACTTATTTTTCAGCATGGTGAAACATTCATTTCAGTAACTGCTACCTAGAAAACACATTTCCCAATTAGTCTTGATGTCTGAATTGCAACTCAGGAGGCAAAGGAAGCGTTGATCCCTGCTCAAGGCACTCTGATGCATTATTGATGCTGTTTTCAATATCAAACCTGCCAGGAATCAGATGCATGATCTGTTCTCCCAGCATCACACGTATGATGACCTTTCTGTTCTGTTAAGGTGACGTGTCTGATAGCTGCCCCTTCTATGTAACTCACTGGGAAAACAAAGGAAAGATCCAGGGGCAGGTGGCTGGTTTTCCAGGGAATGTCTGCTGTGCCCAGTGGGGAGGGGAGCTTGGGCCAGGCCCTGGTGAGGGTCTGTGCTCAGGCACCCCCGAGGTGCCCACGTGTCCCCAGTGCCCCGGAGCAGCAGCTCTGTGTGCCCTGAGCCCAGGAGGAGCCTCCTCCTGCCTGCTGCTGGCTGGGGAGTGTTTCTGTGGCCTGATTTTCTCCCGTATTTGTGATAAATATCCTCTCAAGGCTGGCCTGGCAGCTGTGGCCAGGGCGTGCTCCAGCAGGCACGGCTGCTCTGGCTGCAGGGCCACACGTGTGGGAGCACAAGCCAGCACTGTGGTGGCTCCAACAATGGCACTTGTCCCCCTGCACATACACAAGGTCCTGGCTGGCACTGGGAGCTGCCTCAGCCCTGTTCCCATCCTTACCCTGGGAATAACAACCCAGCCTGTCCAGCTCTGCTGGGGCAGCTGCCAGGGCTGAGCTCTGCTAGCACCAGCCCAGATCTGTATCTATATATGTGTGTGTGTGTATATATATATATATATATATATATATATATATATATATATATATATATATACACACATCCACCTGGCTGCAGTACCACCCCTGGGCTCTGCCATCCTTCACACACTCACATCCCCACTGCTGTGCCAAGGCAAGACTCCACCGCCTCCTCCTCAGGCCCTCCACTCCTCCCAGGGGCTGCACTTTGTGACATTTCTGACATTTCTGACACGGTTTAGTGGGCATGTAGTCATCCCTGGACTAGCCTGTGCAGGAGTTGGAGTTCAAGGATCTAAGCAGATGCTTGGCATGAAATGTGTCAATCCTTACCATAAGCCTTTGTAAAGAAAATTTAAAAGGTGCATCATTGTAAGTATCAGGATCTGTGGCTCTACAAGCTGACCTCAGACAGAATTCCCACCCAGTGAACTCTGCTCCACGGTGCCAGCTCTGTTTTCTTTTCTGTAAGTGCACAGATGTAAATTCTCTCAGCCCTCCCTGTCGAGAAGAATCCTGTCAGCAATTGCTCTCTCCAGTCCCTGCACCATTCAGATGGTGATGTGTCTGCCACCCATGTGCAAGCAGTTCAAGCTTGCTGCTCTGCTTCCTCAGTTGAGAGCTAACCTGGCTCAGGCTGCCTCTGCCTTTGGAGGACTCCTCTAGGAAAATAATTGTAACGTGCACAAAGGCCTCATTTGCTGCAGCAGGTACAACTCTGCCTGTGGCTACAGGCTGCCCCATTTTTTATCAATAAAGAAAGAGGGTTTTAAATCTCCATTGGTGTGCTGTGTCTGCTTACACAAAGCAGCAAGAATCTTAGATGCGAAGAACGTGTACTTGTGTTATAGATTTCTCAGTCAATATCTTTAAATTTTAATTTATTTCTATTTCTTTGCACAATCAAACATGTTTCTTTTTATGGAGACTTCCAGGCTACAAAGTCAGGCATCAGCCTGAGTAACAGCAGAACTGAGATTGTTTGTACCACCTTGCTTTGGACAGTTAACATCAGGAGTGTTATTTTATTCTCCCACTTGTTTCTCTAGGGCTCGGCCTCCCTCCTTCCCTCTGACCCAATGTCCTGCATGATTTCTCTGGCTCTCAGCAGCTCTGCTCTCCCAGGCTCCAGCTCTCTCCCAGCCTTATATCCCATTTTTGTACCCCCAGAGCAGGTGCCTCCCTTGGCTCTTTTCTCCCTGACAGATTCAGGATTTTGCTCTTGCAATTCAAGCCAGGGATTTTTTATTACAATGTTGTAGTGGAGGCTGGCTCTGTTGCTGTTTTGCTGTTGTCACTCATGGTTACTCTCTCTTTGCAGCTGCCCTGACCTGCTGAGCCCCACCACTGACAGGGACAGTGCCTCTGCTGGGGTTGGAGCATGAGGGACAGACCGAGGCACTGAGGGCCACCAGCCAGGAGCATTGCTACCCACGTTAACAGGATCGCTTTAAAAAGGTTGGAAATGCTTTCCCAAATCTGAGCACTTTTTAAGGGAACTTTGTACTGTGACCACCCTGTGATTCCATGATTCCGAGAAAATAGAATAGAAATAAAATTTTCCCAGTGGTTGCTGCCTCCGAGCTGGGGACTGGTGGGTGGTTGTCCCTCCTGAACATCCACCTCCTCTGTGCTGTGTGGTTTCCACGTTCACTGCCCTGTGTGCATTCCATGTCCTCTGTGCCCTGTGTGGGTTCCATATCCTCTGCCCTGGGTGCATTCCATGTCCTCTGTGCCCTGTGTGGGTTCCATATCCTCTGCCCTGGGTGCATTCCACGTTCTCTGCCCTGTGTGGGTTCCATATCCTCTGCCCTGGGTGCATTCCACGTTCTCTGCCCTGTGTGGGTTCCACATCTTCTGTGCTCTGTGTGGGATCCATATTCTCTGTGCCCTGTGTGGATCCCACGCTCTCTGCCCTGTGTGGACCCCATATCCTTTTCTCTGTGTGGGTTCCATATCCTCTGCCCTGTGTGGATCCCACATTCCCTGCCCTGTGTGACCCCAGGACAATAACTGTCCAGGTGAAGGAGCAGGACTCCAGGACAATAACTGTCCAGGTGAAGGAGCAGGACTCCAGGACAGTAATTGTCCAGGAGAAGGAGCAGGACCCCGCCTGGCAGGAGGGTGCAGCCAGGGGGACAGGCCCTGCTCCCAGGGAACAAGGGATGGGACAAGAGGCTGCATCCGAGGTTCAGGTTGGATGCTGTGCTGCACTGCTCCATGGAAAGGGCCGTCCAGCGCAGATGTGAAGTCCCCAGCCTGGAGGCTTTGAAAGCCACGTGGATGTGGCGCCTGGGCCGCGGGTCTGTCAGCGCTGGGGAAGGGCTGGACTGAAGGCGGCTCTCAGAGGAGTTTCCCAGCCCATCAAAGCTGTGGCTGCAGCCTTGGCCAGGGCTCCCAGCCCGGCTGGCTCGTGCTGGGCGCTGGTCCCTGCCGGGCCGCTGACGCTGTCCCTCCGCAGGCCCCAGAAGATGTAGAGCGGCCGGCGGCGAGCAGCGGGGCCGGGCTCCCTCACCATGGCCAAGAGGGGCTCCAGCAGCCGCGCCAGGGGGGACAAGCCCGACGCCCTGGCCGCCCTGCAGGCCGCCAACGAGGAGCTCAGGGCCAAGCTCACCGACATCCAGATCGAGCTGCAGCAGGAGAAGAGCAAGGTGGGCAGCTTCCCCTCCCGTCAGCGCGGCTCCGGTGAGCGGAAAGTTGGGAATGCCGGAGTTCCCTCTGCGGTGCTTCTGTTCCCCTTTCACGCCGACTGCGTTCGGGTTTTGCACGCAAACTCCCCCAAAGGCAGTGCTTCCCCAGGGCTGCAGTGCTGAACCTCGGCTCTGCCTCCTGCGCTGACTCCCAGGCTGAGGGAGAGCGACCCTGGGCTGGAGCCGCAGCTCTGAGAGCTTCCAGCTTCACCCTCGCATCACTTCTCACAAGAGCACCGAGTATTGATTGGCTTTTCCCCAATTCTCCAAATCATTTCCACTGATAGACCTCGGGGGTTTTTGGTTGCAGAATAGAAGTGTGTTGCCATGCAGGGACAAAATTATAGTTTGCATTTTTCCATGAATTCGCATCACTATTAGGCATTTTAGACCATGAATCTGACACACAGGTGTAAGTAAATAGAACATCTGTTAATCTTTTTGCTGCACAGCATTTGCAGCTTTAGGGCTGAGGACTTTGTTTTCCTTCTCCCTGTCCTTCACAGCCACTTCTGCCCATGGCTTCTCTAGAGTTTATGGCACGGTTTTAAATTGAAACATCACTTGAGCCTTGTGTGATCAGGTACAGTCAGTTATTTCTGCTGAATAATTCATTGCTTCAGGAGCTTCTGGTAGAATGCAGCAGTTTGGGGCTTCCCAGGAGTTTGCTCAGAGCTGTTCGTGCCCTGCCTGTGCACGTGCAGGTTTGGCCTGAGTGCCTGAGCGGGCCAGAATGCTGGCCTTGGCACCTGATTTTTCCCTTATTTTGGGGGTAATCTGCTGTGAGAGCTTCTGCAGAATAAAGTAAGGACTCTGACTTACTCAGAAGGTACTGACTGAGTCCTGAATGTGCATTAAACATGAGCCTGCAGTGAAAGAAAGGTCTTTGCTACCACCAGTTTGTAGACACAGACATACCAGCATTGAGGTGTAATAGTGTAAAGTCATCTGTGCCATTTTTAAACAATATCATTATATGTATTCATTGTTTTGTTGGTTGAAAATAATATACTTTTTTGGTTTTCCTTATAGGTCAGCAAGTTGGAAAGGGAGAAGAATCAGGAAGTGAAGCAGATCAAGGAGCACGAACAGCATAAAAGCACAGTGGTGGTCACAGAGCTCAAAGTCAAACTTCACGAAGACAAAATGAAGGAGCTCCAAGCTGTTCGAGAAACTCTCCTGAGACAGCACGAAGCCGAGCTGCTCAGAGTAATAAAAATTAAAGACAATGAAATCCAGAGGCTACAGACCCTGCTCAACGCCGTGCGTGAGGGGGGCCCGGACAAGGTGAAAACGGTGCTGCTCACCGAGGCCAAGGAGGAGGCCAAGAAGGGCTTTGAGGTGGAGAAAATCAAAATGCAGCAAGAGATTTCTGAGCTGAAGGGGGCCAAGAAGCAGGTGGAGGAGGCTCTGACGATGGTGATCCAGGCTGACAAGATGAAAGCAGCCGAGATCAGGAGTGTGTATCACCTGCACCAGGAGGAGATCACCCGCATCAAGAGGGAGTGCGAGAGGGAAATCCGCAGGCTGGTACGTGTGGCCCTCTGCTCCTGCACCGCTGCTCTGGGCAGGAAATGTCAGTGCTGGGCTCGCCGGGCGGGTGTGGAACCCTGGGGCTGGTCCAGCTCTGTTTGCATTACCAGCAGAAAGGGCAAGCTGGTTTTGAAAAGCATTAGGATGTTTTGTGAGAAAATTCTTTATCCATGTGAGAGCTTGTGGATGGTGTTCACATCAAAGGTAGCACGAAGAGCCCTCAGGTTCCTGGCTGGTCAGGGGAAGGGTACTGCAGTTATGTGTCTTGGGTTATGCCTCTAGTTCCTCACCAAGGAAATAGACCCTTCCTGATCCACCTTGGTGCCCCCCTTTGCCTGCCTTTGCTGGTTCCCACGAACATCCCATGTGAGGCTTACACAATCCCAAGTGCTCTTTTCCTGCACCGCTGAGTGCCACCCACGCAGCAGGGCGTTCAGGGCGAGCCCCTCTCCATGCCCAGCGTGGGGGTTCCCCAGGACGGGCTGGTTCTGCCCTGCGTGGCTCCCACCTGGGCAGGGGCTGGGATCTCACCTGGCCCTGCTCACCTGGCGCTCAGGGACCCTCAGCCTGCCCTCACCCAGCCCAGCACCTGATCCTCAGCTGCAGCAGCGGCGCTCTCGAAGGCAAGAGCCTCACGCCTGCGGCTCTGGGGATTTCCTCTGGCATGTGTGGCACCTGGTGGGGAGGTTGGTGGTGCTGGGAAAGGAGAATTCCCTGTGGGAGGGAGCTCCCTCTCAGGGAAGCCCTTGCAGCAGAGCCTGGCAGGCCACCAGCACCTGGTGGGGCTCAGGGGGTCACTGCTGCTGCCCTGCCCAGGGGCTGGGGACACACCCATGCCCTCCTGGTGTGTGTTTTGGGTCTTGTCTCGTTATCTCCGTGGTGTCACCATCGTTTTGTGTTTGCCATGCTGCTTTTCAGCACTCAGGGTCCTGGTACACACCCATCAGGTCCCTCCTAAGTCATTAGCCCTTAGCTGTTATCCTGTCCTACCAGGACAGGAAATAACTCACACACACGTTAGATGCAAGAGAGGGAAGAAGAAGAGCAACAAGAGAGAGCTTTATTTTTTACTCTGCAATATATAGAATTTTAAAAGTGGCAGTGAATTGGAGGATGGAATTCCCACCTCTCCAACCACACTGGTCAAACCAACAGCCCATTAATTCTCTCCTCCCACAAAGAAGAATGCAAAACAATCATTATTTACATGAACAGTGCATGAGAGCTCCAGTAGAAACATGTAAATATCAGAAGGCATAGAAAACTTTCAGAAGAACTTTGAAACTTTTAAAAGAACAGGGTGACATTATCCAACCTCCAAATAAATTTAAAATGCCCAAGGAGCTTTCAGCCTGGCCCCAGACCAAAGGCTGGCAGTGTGCCCACGCTGCAGAGACCCCCTGCAGCACCTCCTACCCTGGAGGATGCTGCTAGAGCATCACCTGAGTCCAGAGGGCCTGGCAGGGACTGACACCAGCAGTGGAGTGTCCCCTTCCTTCATTTAGCCTCCTCTTCTCTCAGACTTTAGCTGTTAAGGGTTTTTCATAGATTAGTTTGTTTTTATGAAGAGGATATTAGAAATCATTTATAACCAACTGCTTTATTGATGCTGTTCAAATATCCTGCAGTGTAAGTATATTCTTCTCTAACCATACATCACTGGTGCATTGATTTCATACAGCACAGTGAATGGGGGGCTAATGGACATCCTAAATAAACTTGCTGCATCACATGGAAGGGCCCTGCTAATGGCCTTTATTGCAGAAACTGTAAAATAAATATGGTCTTACTTACAGGGAGCAGAGTGGTTCAAGGGGATGTTATCTAAACTGCCTTTGGAAATCAAACTTTTTTACAGTTCCTGCTTGAAAGAATCAGCTTGGCTTCCTGCACCAATGAAATTACCTGATGCTATGATTTCAGCAAGCCCCCAGTGCCTCCTGGGTGGGGTCAGGTGCTCTCAGCTCATGGACCCCCTCAGTTATCCTGGTGGGAGCTGCTGTCTCCTGGCACCTTGTGGGGAGGGCCCTGACGTCCGGGGTGAGGGGCTGGGCAGTGCCCTGGTAACAGAGACTCAGGGGCTCTCTGGCAAGCTTTGGGCATTTTCTGTGCTTGCGCTGGCTGGCAGTCTGTGACAGGAGCAGAGGGACAGCCCCAGCTGGGCAGGGCAGCTCAGGGTGGGCCCAGCAGGAATTTCCCCATGGAAAGGGGCTCAGGGATTGGCACTGCCCAGGGAGGGCTGGATCCATCGCTGCAGGTGTCACCTGGAGGTGGCACTCAGGGCTGGGGACAGGGCGGGGATGGGCACACTGGCACTGCAGGCTCTGTGCTCTGGGTGCTCTCCAGTGCAGTTATCCCTGGGGAGAGGATGCCAAGGGCTCCAGCCCGTTCCCGGGGGCAGGGCTGGCAGCTCCCCGCGCTGCAGGCAGCACAGGGGAGGCACTGGGTGGTTTTGGGGTGTGCTCGGGCTGCTCTGAGCTGGGGGCTGTGCTGGCACAGGGGCTGTGCTGCCTGTGCCTGCCAGGCTGGCTCAGCTCAGCCCCTTCAGCTGGCACACAGCCCCAGGGTGGGCACTGCAGAGGGTGAAACCCCCTTGCAGATGGTGAGAGTACGTGTGGCTACAGCCTCCTTCGGAGAGGATGGCTAATTTTAGCCAGCCGTCCTTAAGTGTCACTTTGTGCGTTTTAAACCGCCTGAAAACGCTGCCCGGTGCGTTCAATGCCATTTGTACGGGCAGGAGCACGCCCTGCTGGGTGTGTGCACAGCCAGGGGAAGCAGCTTTCAGCCTGGAGTGTTCCCCGAGCTTAACTGGCCTCGACGCTTGCTGAGTGGGAGCCAAAATGCAGCGTGGAAAAGAGCATTTAAACTTGAATTAACTCTAGGTCGGTCAGGAAGGAGAAGTTCTGCACAGCCACGGGCACTGCAGCCTCCTCACGCCCATCTCCTTTACCAGGGAAATGAGAAAAACTGAGGAAATGGGATTTGCTAGGTCCTGGGGAGGGGTTATTTTCAGTCTAGATAAACTTTAGTCAGTTATGAGTAGCAGCCTGTGCCAATCCCCTGTGAGACCAGTGGGCATGGAGACCCTCACGGCAATGCCACCCCACTGCCAGAGAGGGGCTCGAGGTGCTGAGCACCCCCCTGACCTCTGTGCCCCAGAGACCCGAGCTCTGCCAGTGTCACTTAGTGACCACGTCTGATGGAAAGGGTGGGATCAGATGAAAGGCTGGGAAGCTGACTTTTTAAATATTGGCTTTATTGGTGATTGGTTTAGTCTTTACCCTCTGCTTTTGACTCCCCCGTGTGCTCAGAAACCCCCATATCTGGGATTATAAAAGTGGCACGGCACCTGAAGGTAGACATATGTTCAAGTTAATTGTTCCTTCTTCCAACTGTAGATTTTTTAGTCATTTTTGGCTTGACCCTCATTTACCACATTTTTTTCCAACTAAAGCTGGGCTGAAGGATTTTGTTGTATATAAAAGCCAGACAACCTCACTCCTACATTTACGAGGGTCAGGAAAGCTCCTCATTCTGAGGGATTCCTTTCGTGTCTCGCAGGCCTGCTGTTAACATTTTTCTCTGAGGATCCCTGTCTGGGGGCTGCAGGCACCAAACTTGTGCCTGTGTCATGTGTGGGAATTTACTCAGGTGAAGGAAGATGTCGATGCTGATGTTTGCTTGTGGTTTATGAAGGTTATGTTTAGGGATTTTTTTTTTTTTCTGGAAAACATACCATTAGTGAAATGATGTGAAATGTTTTGTGTTTTCTCATCTCTTTGTTCCTCCCAATTTCATGCGTTGCCTTTGTTGTAATATGTCTTTGTTTCCATATAAATAAGAATCAACTACCCAATATTCTGCTTATTTTAAACAAATAATCATTTAATGCCGTGTTATCTTTTCACCTGTGCATCCATTTGGATTTCTCCTCATTAGACATTTAGCAGAAAGAGCTCAGGTGCTCCAGAGCTTTGTCTTTGTTTCATTCAAAGTCAGCAGGCGCTGCCTTCACAGACATTGTTGAAAGGATGGTTAGTCAATGGCACCCAAAATCCCTTTCATTTGCTGCATTTTGCTGTCCTGATACCTGTGTGACCTGCCAGCACCTGCCCTGGGTGGGCCAGGCTGGCATTTACTGCAGACAAACTCCTTGGAGTGACTGCTGACTCCCTGTGTCATCTTTTTCCAGGTTTAGAGACAAAGCAGAGATAAAAGCATTAGCACAGCTCTTACAAGGCAAAATGTTCTTATTGAAGCAGGCCAGGTTTAAAAACTGACCTTTGAACTTAAATGTCTGAAGTCCCAAAATCCGATGGCAAAAGCCCTGTGTTTCTGGAGTCTGGAGCAGCTGGCAGAGCCTGGGGGCTGGGAGTGATTTCTGCCTCCCTTGCAGCCCCTGCCACTCGTGCTGTGAGCGCCCTGGCTGACGTGTGTGGGTGCAGCGTGGGCAGCACCGTGGGCAGCACCGTGGGCAGCACTGTGGGCAGCACCCCGGCCCAGCCGGGCTGGCATCAGGGATCTCACTGGGCTGGGATCAGCTGGGCTGGGATCAGCTGGGCTGGCATCAGGGATTCTTTCACTGGGCTGGGATCAGGGATTTCACTGGGCTGGGGTCAGGGATCTCACTGGGCTGGGATCAGGGATTTCACTGGGCTGGGCTCAGGGATCTCACTGTCCTGGGGTCAGGGATTTCACTGGGCTGGGATCAGCTGGGATGGGCTCAGGGATTCTTTCATTGGGCTGGAATCACAGATTCCTTTACTGGGCTGGGATCAGGGATTTCACTGGGCTGGGATCAGGGATCTCACTGGGCTGGGATCAGCTGGGCTGGGGTCAGGGATTCCTTCACTAGGCTGGGATCAGGGATTTCACTAGGCTGGGATCAGCTGGGCTGGGATCAGCTGGGCTGGGATCAGGGATTTCCTCTGCTGGGCTGGGATCAGCTGGACTGGGATCAGGGATTCCTTCACAGGCAGGACCCAGCCACCCTCGTGAACTCCAGGCAGACCCCAGGGGTCACATCCTGGCTGATCCCATGGGATGAGCACAAGCCCTTGGCACAGGCGAACAGGGAAGGAGAGCATTAGAGGTCACTGGGTATTTGTCATTTAAGCACTTCATGATTTTGCATAATGTTTATTATGTGTAAGTAAAACCTCTCATGAAAAGGAATTGCTCACAAGGGAGACTTCTGGGACAAAAGAATTTTTAAAAAATTAATATTTCTTCTAGGAATTTTGAAAATTTAAAGCATACTGAATTTTCAATATTTTTCTTTAAAAATTGTTAATCCACGTTTTCTAGAGGTGACATCCAAGCAAACTGCTGCAGAATTGTTAAAGTGTTTGAGTGAAGCAATCAAAGTGTGGTGTGAATGTCAAGCTTTCATTTTTTTAAAGACATTCTGCAGTGGTGCTAGGATTTCAGGCCCTGTCCCAGGGTTTCAGTGCAAGCTGCCTGCTGCAGGAGGGATTCATTTCCTGCTGCGTGGCCCTGGGGAAGGGCAGAGCTGGCTCGCCGTCGCTGTCACCGTGCTGCGGGCTGGCAGGGCAGCGGGGCTGTGCCACCGTGGGGTGCTCCGGGTGCTGCAGCCCTGTGTGACTGTGTTCTGTTCTCCTTGTAGATGGAGGAGATTAAGTTTAAGGACAGAGCAGTCTTCGTGCTGGAGAGAGAGTTAGGGGTGCGAGCCGGGCATGCTCAGAGACTGCAGCTCCAAAAGGAGGCTTTAGATGAACAACTGTCCCAGCTCAAAGAGTCTGACCGGCATCTGAGCAGCCCCAAGCGGGAACTTCCTTATGCAAGTGGTGCAGGAGACGCTTCAGATCATTCGGGAAGCCCCGTAAGCACTTCCACGTGGTTTCACCTGAGCGGGCGACCAAATCTTGATGAGTGCACCCCATGGCTGTGCGGGGCACCCGCGCCGTGCTCGGGCTTTTGTTGTGCCAAACCCCTGAGATTTCCAGTCCAACTCACCATGGGAGAGCTTTTGCTTTCTGTCGTTTTGTTTCCCGGTCGGTTTGGTTTGGTTTTGTCAGCAGGGTGAAATTCCTCTGTTCTCTCTCTCCTTTTCCTCACCGTACCATGCTCAGCCACCCGCCTCAGTTTGACAGTTTGACACGATTCTGCCAACAAACGATGCAAATGCATTTCTCACCAAGCGCTGTCTGTGTGCGAGCTCTCGGGGGCGCGAGCTGGGGCTCGGGGAGCAGATGTACGAGGCCAGTTCCCGAGGGAGGGGGACGGCAGCGCAGGGCAGCAGGGCCCCTGCAGCCCCCCGGGCACCCCTTTCCTGCTGCTCGCTGTGAGCAGCACACAAAGTGAGCCAAAGACCTCCTAACCTATTTCCTGCTGTTTGTTCCCTGCATGAGCCAGGACATTCGATTGGAGCCACCCTTCCACAGTGGCTTTTGCACTGTAACTCTGGCCCCTCCCTGCTGGGGCCCCCTTTGCCCAGAAAAGCCCTTGGGTAACTGCCCTCGTGCCTCTGACGTGTGCAGCCTGTCCTCATTGCTGATCCTCATCAAGATTTCTTTTGCAACAGCCTTGACTGTCTCAGTACAAGTGTAAAACTTATACCTGAGCAAACCTATCTATTTTATTCTTTGGCCCAAGCCTCTCCTGCACCTGTTGAATGAGGAACCCTAGACCTCCCAAAAGTGCCACCAGCACTGTGGGCGCTAATTTGCCTCTCTCTAGTTGTACTCAACTCCTGCCAAAGACCAGAACAAGACATAGAGAAGGGGAAAAGTCTGTCACGTTTGTCAGGAGCTGTAACTCCTCTCTGATTCTGAATGAGAACACATCTACCTATATCTCTATTCATTTCTAATTTGACTGAAGCATTTTCACTCAGATAAAGTGCCACCCCTGTGGCCTTATGAGTGACCCTTTAGGACCCCATAAGGGCCACAGCTTTCTGGAAGAAGAGCTTATTCAATGCACAATTGCATGGATTTTCCCCATTCAGTAATTCAGTAATTTTAATACCGGTTTCTTATGACCGAGTCCTCAGAGTGGGCGATGTGTCTGAAGCTCTCAGTTCAACAGTGGCATCATTGGAACACGGCCTTCAGTTTTGATATTTTCTGTTGTTTCCAAGTTTACCATTTGTAAACTTTGTGGTTGCACATTTGTATTGTCACATTTGTGACGTTGTATTTGCATATGCATATACATATGCATATACATACCTCTGCATTTGCATTCTTTGTTACATTTCCACTCCTGACTTTCCATTGGTCTCGCCCCGCAGCTTTCCGTGGTCAGTTGGGTTCCATGGGTTACACTGTACACAAAAACGTTTTAAAATGTTTGGATGTGGGTAAAGAAGAAGTTTGAGCTTTGCCAACGTGCTCTTGCGTGCACACTTATGAGCAGTTATTTGCAGTTGATCTTTGTTTTAGGAACAGCAGTTGGATGAAAAGGACGCCCGGCGCTTCCAGCTGAAAATCGCGGAGCTGAGCGGGATCATCCGCAAGCTGGAGGACAGGAACGCTCTGCTGTCGGAGGAGAGGAACGAGCTGGTGAGCGCGGCAGTGCCAGGGCCTGGGGAC